ACACATAACTGTAAACAGCTGATGGAGGTACTGCCAGCACTGAACTATTGTTAAATTAGCCTTGCCACCTTAACACTAATATTAGGGTTGTTCTCGTACTGAAAATACTCCAAAATTTTTTTCCAACAGTAAAACTCGTAAAAGAGCTATCAAAATTTGTATGAAACCCTATTTACAAGCCTCTCGTAAATATACGAAGCAAATTTTATGCGCAAACGACCTCGTAAACTTCAGTGTAGCCGAGGGGCCGGAATTTGTATACTAAAATGTATGATAAAATAATGAAAAAATTATACGCGAATAAAATGAGTGAACTTTGTCCACTAACTGTATTGACTTAGGTTTTCTGCTAATTTTCGGCAATTGTATTTTAGCCAAGAGGGATAGAGACAAGACGGCGGGATGTTAGGGAAAATACTACGAAACAAAAATTGTTCACAAAATCCTGACTGATCTGTCAAACAGTCACTTTACGCACCTATTTATATCTTTTCGGAAAGGGGGCGTTCCCATGAAAGCCTCGTACACTTACGAGTTTTACACGGTTTAAGTCTTAACGAGTTTAAGGGAATCCCCTAAATAATTAAAATATTCCCTTACTCCAGGATTAGCAGATTTTACAGGAAAAGCTTTTTCTCTTCCGCTAGCAAGCAGAACTTAATTCAATACTTGAACAGTGAAAAACCCGGTAATAGGTAAAAAATAGTGATGTGTTAGCAAATCAATGTTGCCAAAGTCTTCGCTTTTCGTGTATTCTCTAATTTCCTTTAATTTAAATTCTGTTGAGTTTGACACTTTTCAAGATTTTGGCAGCAAAAATTCTTCTGACAGGGTGTCCCTTAAATCTGACTACTTAGGACTGAAGAGAGTCACTCTCACTGACGTTGCTCTCTCATTTCTGCTGTCATTCACGAGTTAAGGAACGCTTTTTGGACTAAATCTGACTAATTCGGACTATTTCTGACGATTTCTGGGAGATAAGTAACGCAACTAATATAAACCATTATAAAAATATAGTAAGGTAGAACCGCCGAGAGTTACTTTTAAAATTCTTGGCGTTTCCAAACATTTTAATTTTTAAATTTACTCACAAACTCACACACACATTTTCATTTTCAATCTCAAGCAACAACAATTTCGAACAATTTCAATTTTTTATTTTCAATTTCATATGATTTTAAAATGCTGGCAAACTTCAAAAAAAATCATGGCCGACAAATTGAGACAACGGTTCTACCTTACTATGATTTTATCATGATCATCGATATAAACAATACATTTATATTTCCTCAAACAAAAANTAGTGGAAACGACCATTCGATAGTGTAAAAAATGTATCCATTCGATAGTATCAATCGTACGATCGATAGTTTTACAGCCCTAGCCAGAGTGTCCAGATTTCCCGATTTTTTTTTTTATTTGATATTTGCACGTAAAAATTTAGGAAATCGCCATTGGCGATTTTTGGAGATTTTTTTCCCTTCAAATAAATGTAGTCCTATAATAAAAATATACAAAACTTAGTTTTCCACTATATTTTACAGAAGAGGCTATGACGTGAAAAACTTGACTTATGAAGCATAACTAAAATAAAAGACTGTCAAAAATTCTTAGTCACCCTAATCGAAGAAATTTTGAAACGATTACCTAGCCAATTAAATACTTTTAAAAAAGTTTTGCTTTTGTCACCAGACAAGTGTTTGAATCACAAGAGAGCGAGTTTCAGGGACCAGCCAATTCACTATTTGACTTTGAAGGAATGAAAAACAGCTGAAACTGAATGTTTAAGGCTGCGTTTCTCCAAACTCATTTAAGTGGAAAATAACTTTAATTGACCTTCTTATTAAAATTCTCATTTAAATTATTTTCAGTTTCAATAAGCCCTTTATTTAAGTGAGTAAAAAGTGGTGTTAAAACCGACTTTGCCAGTGAAAGCTTTCAGCGTGAGAGCTCTTGAAAGCTTTGGCACGCTGTGTTGTAAAAGCAGGGCTGGTATACAAGTAAGCAGCAAGAATGATAGAATACAAGATTGCGCCGTCCTGGGCGTTGACATTTGTGTACCACAAGTAAACAAAGAATAGAGCGAAAAGAAGAACGAGTTGAAACTGCCAAAACAGTTCACTTTACACGAAAAACGTGTTTTAATTTTGCTAAATGCGAAAATATTGCATTTTCTCCTATCTATTAGAGAACAGTGAACGTTTTAGTGCACTCCATTGCTTTGCAGCAGCATCTCTGCGGGATTGATTAGTTAACTTGCTAATGGAGGCTGCGTGGAGCAGAAACAAAATCATTGTGAGGAAATGCTGTTAATATAATAATAGATAAACATTTCGGGAACGCTTTGCCGTGCCTTATGTACCAAAATGCAGGGATTGTCTCAGCGCTACACTTGCATCTATGCTTCTTGCATTTGACGGCTGTGGCAATATAACACACAGCACTTCATTGTATTAGTTTTTACGCAGTGTTCAACTCAAAAATCACTCACAAATTGCAAATTACCACAATTTAGACTGATTTTTCCTTATAATTCAAATTTCTCTTTCGCTGATTTGTAGACAAAGGTTTATTTACTAGTTACCACAACTGTCAAAATCGGCAAAACCAAAGTAGCGGTACCACTGACGGCGCCACTTTTGTTCGCTGCACCGTGGGCGAGCCCGTCTCCAGACGGTCTTGATTTTTCTCCCCTGTAGGGAAAAGTTACCGTCACAGATCGAAATAGACATCAGTTTTGGATTTCTCGTGCTAAAATCACCCATTCCTGAATTTTTCAACTCATAAAAAAATTGGCCTACTAGAGGGTTAATTCCGTACTCGGGGTTACCATTCTAAAATTTTCCCCAAATTGGCGACTTTTGGCGATTTTTTTTTCAGAAATTACGCTTTTTTAACTACCTGGATAGCCTGGCTCTAGCTCACAGCTGTTTAACTGTTCCATTTGGCCATTGCCGCGTTTTCTTTTATTTACCTCAGAATCCATTCCATAAAAGCACCTTGTTTTCTTAAAAAAAAGTATATTTTCCTTTTAATTAATTCGAAACATATGTGTGTCGGTTTAAAATATTTTAAACATGGCTTTGGCTTATGATATGTGTTCTTCGCGTTGCTGCAATATCTGTCTTTTGTTGGAAGTGGAGAAACAATCCAAAGGAGCTTCACCATCAAAGGAGCCAATGCCTCAGAAGTTGCACAAATGCAGTGGCTGTCAGCTAGTAATGTATTGTAGTCAAGAGCATCAGCGTATGGATTGGCAACTGCATCGTGGTTTTTGTCGTGCCATCAGCCAAATTATGAGCAATTATCAGATCAAGCATCCATACCTTATAAGTGGACAACCTCATGATAGTTACACAATGGAACGCGCTATACTTCAAGTTAAGTACTTGCTACGCACCTTACTTGGTCGAAAACTCGAATATCACGAAGAGGAACTGACTTCATTCCCAGCATATTGCGAAATTTGTTACCATTTAGAACGCGTACAAAGTTGCACTCGCTGTCATGGTGTCTCCTATTGTTCACCGCAACATGCTGCTCAGGACAGCGAACGTCACAAGGCCCGATGTGGTCTTCTTCAACTATACTACTGTCCATACAAAGTACAACCACAAATGTCGCCCGATATGTTAGTGGAAGATTTACGCACACCAGTAGACGATGTCCTAACTATGGACTTGAAGCAAGCCTTCGAGCATATAACCTCGCGCAAGCTACCTAACGTGCCAACAGCCTCAATGAAAAACTATCAGCTCTTCTCATGTGCCGGAGATTTCAGTTGTATTGGCACCATTTGTTTCACACTCAGATTCACTGAAATGGCTGAGTTCAAAGGAAATAAGTTTGCCATTTTCATCTTGGGCGCTACAGTAGAACAAGACCTTTGGTTTCGCCAAATTCACACAAAATGGTTTTTCTTGCAGTTCAAACAAATAACAAGACTGGAGCTGTATTTCATTGGTCCAGAAGTATTAGGAGCCGCAAGACGAGAAATTACCTATAATTATATGGTAAGATAAGGGCTATATTTTAAAATCATAAAATGTATTATACATTTCATAAATTTATGCAGGGTGCCGATCGCACTGTGTTGTACACAAGTTATCGTATGCTGTTCCAAGAATTCACCAAGGAGACCCGTCTGAAACCTTCATTGATAGCTATTTTCAATTGTGGTTTCTCCGAGCATGCCCCATCGACAGTAGCAGAGCAGAAGGAGCAACGTGAACGAACGGGCATACCAGGTGATGCATGTGCCACCAAGGACACATGGTCACATGGCATTTTAGAAATGTTGCAAACCTACGATTTGCCAATACTCTTCACCTCGTTAACACGCCTTGAGGCAGACTTTGATTATGGCGCCATTTTGCGAGTAGCTCAAGCCGATCGTCTGGAAACGCGAATCAAACGTCTTTTCGATGTTAAGAAAAATCCTTATCGTGATCTCCGTCCACTGAGAAACTGGCAAAACCAAAATGACGATGATATATTTTACCGAAACGGCTATGTGCAAGCGGTGATATCACAAATTGCCAAATGAGCGCTTGTAGTGCTCGAGCGTACTTTGGGTGTAGAGTGCAATTTTTTATGGATTTTATTTTAGCGAAACACTGCATTTATTTTCACTCTATTATATACGTACAAATTTAAAGTGGTTTAAACTTTAAAGAAATATTTTAAGCATTTATTAGAATATAAGATAGATATTTACATTTGAAGACTGCGCGTTTAGTTTTACAAAGCACATTGTTGATGTAAGAATACATGTACACACGTATCTGCTTATAGTTTAAATGTGGGTTTAGTTCTAGACTTAAGATTTTTAGTAAAAACTTGGACAAATTATATTGTGTTTAATTGTATTTAGATGTTATGTGAAAAGGTAAATATCTAAATATACAGTATTGGACATATCTATAGCACCCCCCTTTCAAAGCAATATTGTTTGCCTCTTATGTTTAATTATTTGTTTTTAAGATTTTTCAATTAAAATACAGTGCATTCTCTAACAAAAACCAAATATAAACCCATGTTTTAAACTTTTTAAAAGACCGCAAAAAAGTGCAACAAACTTTCACTTAAATTTCAAACTTTTTTCTCAGAAGCTCTAGAATTTTTTTGAGCACACAGTTTTGTAGCGCATTCAATTTTAGTCCCATAATGTGCAAGTTTCAAGTCGCTAAAGATTACCGTTAATTTTTTAGAATTTTTTTTTGTCTCATTTGCTTCCATATAACGGCTAAACACAATTTATTTTTATATGGCAAAAACCCGCAACATCCTCGGCGAAAAAATTCTAAAAAATCAACGGTAATTTTTAGCCACTTGAAACTTGCACATTATTAGACTAAAATTGAATGGGCTATAAAACTGTGTATTCAAAAAAATTCTACCGCTTCTGAGAAAAAAGTTTGAAATTTGGGTGAAAATTTGTTGCACTTTTTTGCGGTCTTTTAAAAAGTTTAAAACATGAGTTTATATGAGTTTTGTGAGAGAATGAACTGTATTTTAATTGAAAATTCTTAAAAATAAATAAATAAACATGAGTGACAAACAATATCACTTTGAAATGGGGGTGCTATTGTATTGGCCAATACTTACTACGTACATATGTATTGCTTAGTTCGCAATTGCATTATTCAATCAATTTTCCCGCCTTCCACAATTTTCGACTGAACGCAAGAGCCTTGCAACCCAAAGTTCCCGAAATATTAACGAAATCTTTAGGAGTATCTCATTTCTGTAACTTTTTTTTTACGAATCTTCAAAGAAAATTATATGAAGCGATTGACACGAACTCGTAAAGAAATTTCTGTACGAAAAATATAGAAAATTCTGAAAAACTTTACATAGCAGCTCTATTTTCTTTACTTTACCGATTTTCTACCGAAATTTCGTAAAAGAATCGAAGTGTGCACAGTTTATTTTATTTTAGAAAATTCGGCAAAAAATCGGATGAGTTCATTACGAATCCTTTAATCTATCTCAACAATTCAGAATACTCTGAAAAAATGGTTTGCAGGGAAGCTTTTGATTTAGGTTTATATGTATTTTCACATAAAAAATTGTTATATAAAATTAATATTTTCTAAGGTTCCATGGTTTGGGATGGCGTGTATTCTTGTATGTCTTTTCACTTCTACTCGGAGGTATATTTGCTCATTGTATGTGCATAGATATATGCACATCTTTCTAACCGTGGCTATTCCAAAGTGTAGTTATAGTGTGTATAATAGGGTGGTCCAAAAACAGTAAAGTCGGAATTGTAATGCTCTCACCCCCTAGGATTGTTCTATATCGAAAAAGGGTATACTCTCTTACTCTCTTTATTTTCAAATCAAAAAATATTTAGAGGTCGCTCAAAGCGCTCAAAGTTTTCCATGTATTTTATATGGGGAAAAAACAACTTATCCTAGAAATGGTATAGAGTTCTTGAAAATCAATTTTTTCGATCGGAAGACTCTGGTTCTTTCTGGAGAATTTCAGTAATAATACCCAATTATTTATTTAACCATTTTTTAATATTAACGAGTTTTTATTTGTCCCACACTGCATTTTTCGGGGTTTTTGTGGGTTTTTGGCGGACCTATAAATTACAGTTGCGATGAAAAAAACGGTTAAATAACAATTGGGTATTATTATTGGGATCTTTTGCAGATGATAAGAGTTTTCCGATAGAAAAATATTGTTTTTTTTTGAATTCTATGTCATTTCTACGAAAAGTTTTTTTTCCCATATTAATACCTCTAAATATTTTTTGATTTCAAAATAAAAAATAGGGGTATGTTTTTTCGGATTAGAATAATCCAAGAGGGTGAGAGCATAAAAATTCCGACTTTACTTTTCCACATGCATTTTCGGACCACCCTAGTGTATAAACCCACCTGCATCCTGGGTTGTTTTCTCTGCCAAGCTGATGAAAAAGCAAGATCGCAAGGATTTGAGTCATCTTTTCCGTAGATACATACCTTCCAAAATATTCCTCGAATAATTTTTAGTTGTTTACATTATGTAGCATCTCAGCCCAGTATCATAGGTGGGGGAAATCAAAGAGATTGACGCCCTCTAGAAGTCTATAAATTGATCCGCTCCCCTTACTTGAAAAGTTTACTTAATTTGTGAGTAATACACTGCCGGAACAAAGTATTGGCACAGCAAATTTTTCACAATATATGCAACAATTTTCATCCTAATATTTTTCCGCTAATTTCGTATAAAAATATGGTTCATTCTACAAAAAGAAAAACATTAAAATATAATTCCTAAACTTTGTGCAAAACTCGCGAAAATTCAGCAAATTCTCATGAAAATTTTAAACTTTTCAATTAGATTTTTTAGAATTTTTTTGAGTATGCAGATTTGTAGCCCATTAAAATCTAGTGCGTGCTTTCCTATAAGGCAGTTGCCTGTTGCTGTTGTTGTTGTAGCGGCCACAACAACCCCGCCCAGATCGGTTATCTCAGTCGTTGTCGTCAAGCTCTACTAACGGAAGCCCTATGAAGCGTGAAGTCGTGAAGTCTGCCGAGGCAGCTCCGTCTCGTCGATGTCCGGTGGTTGTGGGCCTAGAACTGCATTCACAGGTCTGGAGTCTACATAACTCGAGTATTTTGGGGTTATTCACCGTCGGAATTGGTGTATCATCGACGTGGAATTCCCAGCCTAGTCACCTCCTTCGTCCAGGTGGTGAACAAGGTTGCAGACGATTTTGTAGGGGAGAGGGTTAAGTTTCTAGCAGAGAAGAAGCGTTAAAGCTCGGAGAGTCATCAATCCATTCACAGACGCCATTATCGAACAATCGTCAGCATAGGAGACAACCGAGACTGCCTCTGGTGGTTGAGAGAGCTTTGAAATGTAGTAGTTAAACAGTAATGGGGAAAGGACACCACCCTGTGGAACCCCCTGCTTTATTTTTCTAGGTTTACTCGATTTGTCTCTAAACATTACTGACGAGTGTCGACCACTTAGATAATTGCCGACCACCGTTTGAGCCTCCGTAGGAGGGAGCAGGCCTCTATGTCTTCTAGTAGCGTGGAGTGGCTGACGGTGTCAAACGCCTTTGACAGGTCCAACACTACTAGAATAGTTCTCTCACAGGGACGGTTGCGGTTAAGGCCACATGTTATCTGCGTGTTTATGGCGTTAAGTGCTGTTGTTGTACTGTGCACTTCACAGAAACCATGCTGATGCTTCGCTGCGGTAAGGTGGTTCGTGAAATATGGGAGTAGCAAGGCCTCTAGTGTCTTCGCTACCGGGGAAAGGAGTGTTATCGGACAATAAGATTCTCATTTGTTGGCTGGTTTCCCCAGTTTGAGCAGTGGGAGCACTCTCCCCATCTTCCAGATGTCTGGGATAATGAGAGTGGCTATTGACAAATTGAGGACCTCCGTTAGATACGCTACGCCCGTATGGCCCAAATTTTTTAGCATCAACATGCATATTCCGTCGGGCCCCATGGCTTTGGAGGTTTTTGCCTTCCCGATGGCTAGCTAAACTACACCGCTAGTGAAAGCAAGAGGGGCACAGGTTGTTGGCAGTTTGTGCAGCCTTCTGGTCACTCGACGCTTGGCTTTGTCGGCCGGAGGATGCAGTATGAACTTCCGGCTAAAATAGCTCGCGTATCGCTCCGGGTCCGACGAAGCATTGTCGCCGAAAGAAATTTCGACCCTGTCGACGTGCTTCGTCGGAATGGACGGTTGACCAAAGCTTACTCACACCAGAGGCGAAGTTGCAAGTCTTCAGATACTCTTCCCACTTTTTCCGCTTATGTACGCTCACAAGCTGCCGAATCTTCGCGTTGAAATCCCTTATACGGGGATTTCCGCGATCGGTCTGATGAAGGTTGTCACGCTCATCGGCTAGAACAGCCACTTCAGCAGGGAAGTTTGGACGGGGGTCCGTACTGCATCCTGCCGGTACGCAGCGAGCTGCAGCAGCAATGACAACCCTGCGGAACTTACGTTCACCAAGGTGGACGTGGGTTGGTGTGGGGAGCGCAGCGAAGGTGCTCTCAGTAAATTCCGCGAAACCTTTCCAATCAGCTTTAGAAAAGTTGATATAGGTCCGGTGTTCCGCGGAAGCAAAGTCGGTTGGTTTATCGATCGAGATAACTATGGGCAGATGGTCTGATGCCAAAGTCAGCATAGGTCGCCATGATATGCTGTTTATCAGACCAGCGCTGTCTATTGTTATGTCTGGCGAGCTGCACACAGTTGCCTGTTCGAGCACAACTGTGTTATCTCCCTCCTAAGAGAATAAGAGTGTTCGCTATGCAAAAAACATGTACAAGTTGGTACCAAGTGTTACCAAAGCGTGTTCGTTTGGCCTAAACACTGTAAAATTGCAAGGAGAGAGCACAATTTTGACATTTCATTTGGAGGGGAAGTTGCAAATTCGTGCTGGGAAAATTTTTGTCAGCAAGAATTTGCAAGCAGAATTGTGGCACATGGTTGTATTTTTGTCAACAATAATTTGAATCAACAAGTTCGTTAAATTTAAAAATGAACAATCATGTTGTGATTTACTAGTGAAAGAAGTATGTTAATATTTGTTTATANGTTTGTAGGGGAAGTTGCAAATTCGTGCTGGGAAAATTTTTGTCAGCAAGAATTTGCAAGCAGAATTGTGGCACATGGTTGTATTTTTGTCAACAATAATTTGAATCAACAAGTTCGTTAAATTTAAAAATGAACAATCATGTTGTGATTTACTAGTGAAAGAAGTATGTTAATATTTGTTTATAAAATTAATTTAATTAATTCCAAACATTTAAAAGATGCTCGGCTGAAGCAGCTCTATTCGTAATCGGAACGCAGTCGACACCATTGTCGATATAGGAAATCCGACAGAGACTTCCACAAAGAAATTGAAGCTGATGTTGAAGGAAGTCAAAATAAGAAGAAATATACGTATAGAACCTGTTTTGTTTTCCACCTGAAGTAAGCCGCTACAACAACAACAACAACCTCTACTTTTCAAAATCAGTTCGAAGCTCGTTTGTAGCCTCCATCATAGCTGACACCTCAGTCTTGAAGCCTATACAGTAGTGCGGTAGCCAAAATGAACGGCTTGGGCGAGGGTTACAAGAGAAGAACCCCTCCCACTCTACCGTTCATTTTAGAATCATTGCTGTACTATCGGATGGAGTATAATAGTTTTCTACCTATTGACTGTTTGGAATTTTCATAACGAAGTTTCTATCCACAACAACAACACAACGGTCTGTAAAACCCAGAAAGCAAATTTCTTACAGAATACAAGAGTGACCCGGTTCAATCCCGGTTCCCATAGCATTGCGTTTCTTTACCGAAGTGCAGCAAGAGATGACATTTGCTGATTAAATTTGTCATCCATCAAAAAAAAAAAACAAACCTGTATTGATCTCAACAGGCCGACCTCGTTTCCACTTTTAATTTTTAACCGACCAAAAACACTTTCTTTTTCTTACAATAACAATACCAAAAGTCCTTCTATCACACAAAAATACTCTTCAGTTTTATTTAACAGTTTAAGGTTTTTAAAAACCATTCTAGAATTTAGATTCATAACCAATTTCACTTAATTTTGCAAAGTTTATATTCAAACATTCCTGTAATACTCAACACTCCAACTTAAACCTCGACCTCTTTCAGCACCTTACGAATCCAGTAGGTACCGCCATCTTTGGCAACGGTGGCAACAAATTTCACTTTGCCCTTGTAACCGGCTGGTTCCCAGGCGAAAGCCACACTCTTGATGGGATTATCGTGCGGGATCTTCTTGTGCGTAAGTGTGTCCTGAATCAAAGAAATATTACAAAAAATATTAACAAGTTAAATGAATTTTAAAGACATTTCTCAACTTACATCGGGATTGCTGCAACTAAGTGTTTGTGACGTACTGCTGTCGACCACCTTAAATGTACCCACTGGCTTATCGTTGGCATCACGCGCCTGTATGGCGAAACCCAAGAAACCCTGCGAACCACCTAAGGCTAGAGAAACTTTACCATTGTTGGCCTTGCTGTCGCCAGAGAATCTGTAAGGGACGGCGGAGCTTTGCCCATCGAGGCCATGTTCAGGTGTTAAACCATTTGTGCAGATGGCTTTCGGAGCACCGGCTGAGTTGCTGTAGGCTGGCACGGCCAAACAGGCGATTAACAGGAGTAAGCGGAACATGTTGGCAGACGTAAAACTACGTATGGGAAGAGGAAAATTACGTGCATAGATATACATACGTACTATGTACATAACATAGTACATGTGAATAAGTTCTTGCGAATAATGAAAGTTGTGTGTAAATTGTGTAAATTTTTTATTTGTAATGCCGCCTAAAAGCAATCAGTAGAGATTTAAAAGCGTAGGTTACTAGCATTCAGGGTTTACTTCAATTAGCGTTTTTAATTACGGCGTCACAAGGGCGATAAAACTTTGATTTCCAACGTTAATTTATGATAAATAAAACTAGCAAAAAGTAGCACTTAAAAACAATATAAATCCAAGCAAATTTTGCGCATTTACTGTTTACTGTTTACTGTTACTGTATGTGTGTCCATTAGGGTGGTTCATATCATTTTTCTTCCAACCACCTTCCCCCCAGAACTAAAGACAATCGAAAAAAAGAAAACCCATATTTTATGTATATATTGAAATTGGTTAGTATTTAAAAAAAATTGTAAAGAGATAAGATTATCGTTTATGAAAAAGTAGTTAGTGAAATTTTAAAGTTAAATATGCAATATACCTATCTTAATTTTTTGAAGATTTCTGAAAGGAAATATTTTTATTCGTTCAATTAATATTTATTTTTAACGAATGTATAGCAATTCTATGGAAAAATTTATTTCCCCATTTCAAATATATGGACTACTTCAAAGCCCCGGCGGCACTATTTAATATTAACCAATTTCAAAATAAAAAATACGAGTCTCCCTATTTTCGAAATTATTTAGTTGTTGTTTTTCCTGTGTATTTTTTGACCACCCTAATATGAGCTTGTTACCGCCGCCACTGTATTATGTATCTATATTAGTTATTATCTATTCTATTTTCGCTTTCTCAATTTTAACTGAATACAATACATAATTGAATACATACACCCAATCTATGCGGACAACATACATATGTATGCACATTAGGATGGTCCAAAAACAGTAAAGTCGGAATTGTAATGCTCTCACCCCCAAGGATTGTTCTATACCGAAAAAATATACCCTTATCAAAAAATATTTAGAGGTCACTCAAAGCGCTCACAGTTTTCCATGTATTTTTATATGGGGGAAAAAAACAACTTTTCGCAGAAATGGTAAAGAATTCTTGAAAACTAATATTTTTTAATATAATATAGGCAACCTTATACGAGTCTTCTCGGAGATAGTGCCTATTCAGATAACCTTAAAATCCAACACATTATCTGTGTACAATAATTCATCAAAATCGTTAGAGCCGTTTCCGAGAACCCTATGGATATATACATATGTATATGTATATATGAATATATGTATGTAAATATGTACATATATATACAAGAATCACCTGCCATTGAAATTCACTCTTAGTAGGGTTCTCCTATTTCATCTGACCTCGTTAAAGACATTAAAATTTACTGACACGCTGCAAAGTGAGCATACATATGTACATTTGCATTTGGCAATCCTGCTTTTTGTTTGGCGTTAAGCGATTTTGGTCGATAAAAAAAAAAATAAATACACCACTTTGCCAAAATATAATTTGGAAATGTTGGCAATTTTAAAATCGGCCTTGACTTAGTATTCGTGAAGCCAGTTCTTAAACCTCTTGTTGGTCACAATTTTTAAATTTCCAGTTTTCGCTATTTGAACTTGTTGCAAATATGCAAATGACGCCCATGTAAATAGTTTTGTACAAGTAATAAAAATCCATAGTGGCCTGAAAAATGTATTAAAATTTATGAAACTATAATCTCCCCAAATATTTAGCTTTTCTTAATTGATTTTTTTTATATCAGCTACTGTTAATTCTACGATTGTAATTTGTGAAAATGCTGTGTCATATAAACCAGGGTTGTTGCGAATATTCGCATTCGCAACCGCAGAGCTTCCGCATTAATTTTAATATTCGCATTCGCAATAAGCAATGCAGAGCTTTTGCACTGATAAAAACCTATGTATATCTGGCAAACAAAATGACAAATATTTAGTAGACAATATTTTTGCCCACGTCAACTTATAATACTATTTTTTTTTTAGTTTTTTTGTGGACCAATCTTAAAAAAAAACAAGTAAGAGCAGCGCTGTCTTCGGCTATGCCGAAGGCTTCATACCTTTCATGAACATCTGCAAATTTTACTTTGACAGATTACTGCTTTTGAATACATCTGCATACATCGATAGAGGAGTTACATANTCTGATCATATAAGTATACATTTTGATGGGTCTATCTCTTTTTGTTCTGGTACTTACAAACATCGGACCAAAGTTATAATACCATTTCATGCTCATGAAAGGTATAAAAACACTACTGGACATGAAAGAACAAAGTGTACGCTATAATTTTAAACCACATTTTCATGATTTGCTTTTGATGTTATACTCATTTCAATCATTTCAAATGGGCACTTTGGGAAATTTATTTTCAGCAAAAATTTCAAAAAGCAGTAATTTCGCAGTATGGCAGTTACTTGTCGGGCAATATTTTTTCATAGGGCTGGCGGCCGCTATGCTGTAGTGGTCAGAAGTGCACACTACCATTCCACAGTGTGTGTGAACGAGCCTAGTTTCCGACTATAATCATAAATAAAAAAAGAAAACGTTTTTTCTAATAGCGGTAGCCCCTAGGCCTACAATGGCAAACCTCAGAGTGTATTTTCTCTCAACTAGTGCAGCGCCAATCGAAAAAAAATTAAATTATTGTCAAGTTTCACGCGCAGATATTTGTCGCCTCGAGCGAGTAGTTATTTACTTGCGCAGGTTTGATTTACGACCCTTTAAGAAACAGGCTGTAACCTGAATAGGCAGCAGCATTACTTTTCATTAAATATTATGTTTAAATTTTTAATTTCAAGCGCNTGCAGTATGGCAGTTACTTGTCGGGCAATATTTTTTCATATGGCTGGCGGCCGCTATGCTGTAGTGGTCAGAAGTGCACAATACCATTCCACAGTGTGTGGGAACGAGCCTAGTTTCCGACTATAATCATAAATAAAAAAGAAAACGTTTTTTCTAATAGCGGTTGCCCCTAGGCCTACAATGGCAAACCTCAGAGTGTATTTCTGCCATGAAAACCAGCTTCTCATGAAAATTACAACGTCGTTCGGACTAGGCGTAAAACTGAAGGTCCCTCCCCTGTGTGTGACAACATCAAGACGTACACCATAAATTCCCGTCTTCAGCTCGAAACCAACAACATTTATTTTGTTTTTGTGACAGTTGTCAAAATTAGCACGCAGCGAAATAAAGATAAAATTGAATGTGAAAAAGTTGACAGACAGGTTCACAAATCAAATCAGAATCAATGACGTTGCAGGTGCTCCAAATTCAGAAATTCTTTTAAAAAAGATTCAGAAAAACCTGACACATTTGGTTTGGCTTGTAAGCGGTGTTTAAACAACGATCTTGCCATGATGCTAGATTCTTCAAGTGAAGGTGAAAGTCAGGAGTACACATCCGACATCCGATTTTCAGCTCCGATGCACAATTCTCAAAAAGAAATTTTTTTGCGCCGCAATAAAAAAATAAACATGTACATAAAACTGAAAGTTCTCTCAACTAGTGCAGCGCCAATCGAAAAAAATTAAATTATTGTCAAGTTTCACGCGCAGATATTTGTCGCCTCGAGCGAGTAGTTATTTACTTGCGTAGGTTTGATTTACGACCCTTTAAGAAACAGGCTGTAACCTGAAAATGGCAGCAGCATTACTTTTCATTAAATATTATGTTTAAATTTTTAATTTCAAGCGCTAAATAAAATAAAAATTATTAAAAATTACTGACTTTTCATTTCTTATTTACCTAAATCACCTAATTTACGTACCTAAATTATTTCTTAAAAATACCTGACGCATCCACATCCGCGGATGTCTAAAGTTCCACATTTGCAACTTCCCTAATATAAACATAAATCCAGCGATGAGAAATTGATTTAAAGAATTGACTTTGTTGTCATATACATACATATATACATATATGTACATGCATGTACCTAAATACAACTAACAAATGTTAGGATTCCTGACGTGCCGAGACTTTTTTAAAAGTTGTCGCTCTCTTCAACATCATTCCTTTTAAGCCGCTGTGATCATCTGTTGATACTGCTTTTGCTTGCTTCGGTTACTTTTGGTTTTTTTTAACTGCCAAGAATTACCATTTAGCGGATTTAAATTTTTGATTGCATAACCAATGACATTACTTTACTAGCTTTTGAAAGCGAAACCAGTTTTAATTTTTTTCATTTTTTTTTTTTTTTTTTTGGTTTGGGTACTTCGAATGTTAATTACCACTGTCTGTACTTTTTATGTAATATTTATTCCATTTCGATGGAGCGTAGTCAGATTGTATTAATGGTTAAATGACCTAATTGGTAAAGGGTCTTTCGTTTGGTTTAGTTATAGAAAAATTTAATTTTTAATTATTCCAAGTAAATGCCATAGTGAAATGTACTTAAAAGTTACATTAAAAATTGGTAGGAGTATTTTCAAGTTAAGCAATTGGCCTGGCAGAACAGTGAGGTGCACATTTCAGCACAAAGTAACAAAAAACTCGATTTGTTGTATTGAATTTCCTATATTTCTTGTATTTTCTAGCCAATACTAATTAGAGTTTTTAAAGCTATTAGCGATTGGCAGTTTGTAATTGGCGACTAATGTGATTAAATGCCTTCGAATTCTAGCATTTGTAGGCACATACATACATACATGCATACGTGGTTATATGCGTATGTATGCAACAGAAAGTAGGAATTTCTAATTAACTATTTAAGCTAGTACAGGTGCAATGAGGAAATATAATGTCCTACACTGGAGAAAAATTTACGGGTAAAACGCAGGTTTTTAAAAGAAATTGCAAAACACAATTTTGTGAAATAATTTTACTTCATACAAAATAAAAAATGCAGTATTTGTATTTCCGACTTTAAAACGAAACATTCGCAAAAAAAAAACGAACGTTAAAATATATTTTATTTTGTACNTTATGTGCATGCATGTACCTAAATACAACTAACAAATGTTACGATTCCCGACGTGCCGAGACTTTTTTAAAAGCTGTCGCTATCTTCAACATCATTCCTTTTAAGCCGCTGTGATCATCTGTTGATACTGCTTTTGCTTGCTTTGGTTACTTTTGGTTTTTTTTAACTGCCAAGAATTACCATTTAGCGGATTTAAATTTTTGATTGCATAACCAATGACATTACTTTACTAGCTTTTGAAAGCGAAACCAGTTTTAATTTTTTTCATTTTTTTTTTTTTTTTTTTGGTTNTGACCTAATTGGTAAAGGGTCTTTCGTTTGGTTTAGTTATAGAAAAATTTAATTTTTAATTATTCCAAGTAAATGCCATAGTGAAATGTACTTAAAAGTTACATTAGAAATTGGTAGGAGTATTTTCAAGTTAAGCAATTGGCCTGGCAGAACAATAAGGTGCACATTTCAGCACAAAGAAACAAAAAACTCGATTTGTTGTATTGAATTTCCTATATTTCTTGTATTTTCTAGCCAATACTAATTAGAGTTTTTAAAGCTATTAGCGATTGGCAGTTTGTAATTGGCGACTAATGTGATTAAATGCCTTCGAATTGTAGCATTTGTAGGCACATACATACATACATGCATACGTGGTTATATGCGTATGTATGCAACAGAAAGTAGGAATTTCTAATTAACTATTTAAGCTAGTACAGGTGCAATGAGGAAATATAATGTCCTACACTGGAGAAAAATTTACGGGTAAAACGCAGGTTTTTAAAAGAAATTGCAAAACACAATTTTGTGAAATAATTTTACTTCATACAAAATAAAAAATGCAGTATTTGTATTTCCGACTTTAAAACGAAACATTCGCAAAAAAAAAA